TCATTACCATGTTCCCTGCTCACAACAGTCCTGCATGACGAGGGAGCCAGCTGCATCTAGAGAATACCAACGGCAATCCCTGGTATTTTTCTTTCATGCAACCAACCATGGAGATGTAGGTCAGGCGTTGCTGGCCTGTCGGTTACAGCAGCTCTAGCTTCACCCCCTGCACCTGCAGCCATATTCACACAGTCCCAGGGGATGGGCCTCTCTAAACAGGGATGGAATCTCCAAGGGTCCATGTGGGCGGAGCTGGCTGGACCTGGGGAGAGTATGAAAGAGAACATCTGGAAGGTGGGGACCAACAGGGTGGCTGTGCCCTGGTAGGACTGGTAACTGGATTGGTGGTGCTTCTGCTCAGCTTAGTCATCATCACTGACAAAAGAGACTGGGGAAGCCCAGTCCTCCCCCTGGGCTCAGCTGGGTCTCTAGACCTGCACCTGAACCCCCATGCCTGGCTGGTGTTTACGGGATTGAAGCTGCTGTCCTTTGGGACCAAGCCTGTTTTCATTTCTGCTCTCAGCTGTCTGGTCTCTGCGGACCTCACCTACAGGTTCATGCGTGCCCGTCCCCCACGATGCAGCCCCACGAGGCCCCTCCAGCCTGCCACACTCCTCTTTGGCCTTTGTTCTCTTCAGCAGTTCTACTAGCTTTGTCCTTGGCATAAGAGAGGGCTTCCTGGACCCTGAGCAGGCTCTATTGGTCCAACCAAGCCACACCTTCCCCAAGACTCAGTCTCTTTTTGCTGTGGTTCCAAGGTATGGGACAGTTCACCTGTGTGGCCACTTCAAACTTTGGCTGGCTCACTGTCCTGAACTTTCTCCTGCCCGGGGCCTCACATAGCTCCTCTTTAAAAGTTGGAGCAAGATCAGGATGTGTTCTGTTGATCTTTGTATACTTACAAATGGACAGTTTTTATTTTACTAGTCAATGTATCTTATGGTGATTTCTATCTATGGCAAATGATACTGTTTTCTATATATGGTAGTAGTAAATTGCCTTTTTGTGACATTTATTCACTTACCAAATAGTTACTGAGCATCTACTGTATGCCAAGCTCCATTTTAGCTATTTACCCGCCTTCGTGCTAGACGCTTTGGTGTCTGTCTTAAAAGGTGATTAGGAAAGGCCCTGAGGAGGGGGAATATGAGCAGAGCTGTGTCATAAAGCCTGAAGGAGTACACTTTGAAACAGTCTGTGGAAAAAACATTCCAGACACAGGAAAAAGTACAGAGGCCCCAGGGTGAAAAAGGTATGCTTGGCCATGTTTGAGAAGGAGCAGAGAGAGTATGGCTGGAACAGAGCAGGAGAGGAAGCCGCGGAAAATGAAGGTTTGTGTGCGTCATGCTAGGACTCCGTGGTTCTTTTCTTGAGTGAGATGGTTGGGCAGGTAGTAGAGGGTTCTGAGCAGATGGGAACCCTTCTAGCTGCTGTGTGATGAAGGGACCATGGGGTAGGCAAGAAGTGGGAGTCCAGTAAGGAGGTGCTACAAGACCAGTAGGAAATGACGTTGACTTGATCACATAATAGCAGTGGAGGTGGTGAGAAGTGCTAACGTTCTAGATAGATTTTGAATATAGGTCCACTGCAACTTATGACAGATGAGAGCTGGAGAGGATTTAAGGATTTGCAAAGTTTTGGGAAGGGAGAAAGATGCAGAAAGAACAGGTTTAAGTGCATCAATTGATAGAAAAATGTTAAGTAGGAGCTGGAGTTGTAGCTCAGTGGCAAAGCACTTGCCTAGCATGTGTGAGGCACTGGATTCGATCCTCAGCACCACATAAAAATAAACAAATAAAATAAAGGCATGCTGTCCATCTACAACTACAAAAATAATTCTAAAACAAAGAAAAATGTTAAGTGAGTAATAACAGGTAATAAATAAATAGATAAGGCAAAAACAGGAATGGCTGAAATTATGGATGGAGTGGACCAGATGGGTCTGTGCTTCCTCCAGCACTAAAGTTCTGCTTTAGTGAATTCAGACCTCTGTTCATGCGGAATGGGAACTTGAACCTCAGCCTAGAACGTGATTGATACTGAAGGAGTGACAAGAGGGGAGGCCCTTGGACCCAGGCTCACTTATTAATTTGGAAGAACTTGGGAAGTTCTTTTATACACCCTGACCTCCTGCCATCACCTCATTCAATCGGTCACTCTGTCTGTCATCTAGCACTTTCTGCCTCCTGGGCCTACACAGCCCTGCTGTCCCTTCTACTAACAAAGCAAGCTACCTATTCCCACCTGAGCCTGTCTACTTTGTGGCCCTGTGTGTACCTGGTAGTCAGGGCATGTGTGTGGTGAAAGTGAGTCAAGCCTGTATTCCCAGCAGCTTGGGAGGCTGATATGGGAGGATCACGAGTTCAAAGCCAGCCTCAGCAAAGGCAAGGCACTAAGCAACTCAGAGAGACCCTGTCTCTAAATAAAATACAAAATAGGGTGGGGGATGTGGCTCAGTGGTCCAGGGCCCGTGAGTTCAATCCATGATACCAAAAAAAAAAGGAAAGAAAGTGGGGCAGCCACAGCCTAAGCAGACCCCTGCTCCCCTGCTGTCCCTTTGCCTCACTGTCCGTCCAACCCCCTCCTTCGTCCTCCTCTTGCCATCCACCTTTCCTGGCCTGATGAGCAAATACTTTTTGCCTCCATGAGAGCAGAAGAAATAGTTTTGCCTCTTTCTTCTTCTAGGCCTCCATATTTATCAAACTGGAGAAAAATCCTTGAGTGACTCTTTGCCTGCCTTTTGTAGATAGAACACAGAAGACAACTCCCACAGTCTGAATCCAGTTCATCAGTAGACGCTTTCAGCTCCCTTCAGTAATCCTAGTAGTATAGGAGGCTGAGGCAGGAGGATCACAAGTTTGAGGTCAGCCTGGACAATTTAGCAAGACCCTGTTTCAAAAGCAGATAAATGAATAGGGAGCTGGGCATGGTGGTACATGTCTATATAATCCTATATAATCCCAGCAATTTGGGAGACTGAGGCAGGAGGATCACAAGTTTGAAGCCAGCCCAGGCAACTTAATAGAGATCATGTTTCAAAGTTTAAAAAAAAAAAAAGTTTTTTTAAAGACTGGGGATGTAGTTCAGTGGTAGGAGTATCCCTGGGGTCAATCCCCAGTAGAGCACCACCAAAAAAGAAAGAAAGAAAAAATCCTTTCAGCTCTATTAAATTCTGAATCTACTTCACTTCAGATTCTCTGGCACCATCGGGGTGAGCCACCATCCTGTTTTTCCTGGGTGGCTATATCAGCTTCTTACCAGACCTCTTGTCTCTGCCTTCCCAGCAGCCACAGGAACCTGTTAAACCAAAGTTAGTCATGTTCTTCTGCTTAGAACCCTGCAGCCATTCCACAAGTCCAAGGTCGTAAGTGGCCTTGTAGGCACCATCTGGCAGTGTCTCCAGACCTTACTGTGCATCTCTTCCTTCACCGGCTTCTACCACACTGGCCTCTTTCCTGTGTCTTCGAGCACCTCAGGCATGTTCCTGCCTGGGGGACTTTGCACTTTTTATTTCTACTCCCTTTTCTCAGAATTCTTGCAGCGCCTGATACCTCACTTCATTCAGGTGTCTGAATAAAGCCTCCTCAAGAAGTTGCCTCCTAGCAGGCATGATGGTGCATGCCTATAATCCCAGGGACTTGAGAGGTTGAGGCAGGAAGATTGCAAGTTCAAGGCCAGCCTCAGCAATTTGATGAGTCTGTCTCAAAATAAAAAGGATGGCAAAGTGCCCCTGGGTTCAACCCCCAGTACCACAAAAATAAAAAAAGTTTTCCTTCATCACAGATTCTAAGCCTCTTTCGTATTTCTCTCTGCCTCTTCTCACATTTATTCTTTTAACACTGTGACCATCTGACACATTTGTTTATTACTGCCTGCCTCCTCTCATAGATTATAAACTCATAGAGGTAGGGTTTTCATCTGATTTAATTACTACTCTATCCCCAGCACTTAGCCCAGTGCCTGGCACTTAGTGGGCACTTGATAAAGACCCAATGAATGCGTGAGTGTCCAGGGGTGAGGAGGGCAGCTTGTCTGACCTTCCTGCAGCTCCACAGGTTTAGCCTGGCTCATGAAGATGTCCTGTCTTAGAGAACTAACAGTGTCTCCAGTACGACTTGGCATTATGATTTTTTCCCAAGTTATGAGGGGCCCTCTTTGCAGGCACTGGCTGAGCACAGAGGAGCCTGCATTCAGCATTCCTTTGCTTTCTCCCCAGGAGGCACCTAGGAATCCAGGGGGCATGAGCTCCCCTATCCTCAGTCATCTCCAATTTCCAGGGTCCAAGAGTAGCAGATCTCAGGGCTGGGGATGTGGCTCAAGTGGTAGCGCGCTCGCCTGGCATGTGTGCCGCCCAAGTTCGATCCTCAGCACCACATACAAACAAAGATGTTGTGTCTGCCAAAAACTAAACAAAATAAATATTAAAAATTAAAAAAAAAAAAAAGAGTAGCAGATCTCAGTAAAAATTGAATGGGAAAAAGAGTGACAAAAGGAAGAACGTCGTGATTCTCTCCACCGGTCCCACTGCACTGGCAGTTTAATGTGCTGTGGAGCTTCACACATCCTCACCATAACCTGTGACCTCAGCCTCATCACACCTCTGAGTCTTAGTTTCCTTGTTGGTAAAATGGAGACAACACCTACTTAGAAGATTTTGAGAAATCAAGCAGTAAATATTAGCCCAGCAAATATTAGCTGTTATTTTTTTTGTTTATAGTTACAAAAAGCAGAGGTCCTATGAGAAGCATATTTTGGTTTTAGTACTGTGGATTGATCCCAGGGATGCTTTACCACTGAGTGCTTTCCCTAGCTTTTATATTTTTTATTTTTTAATTTTTTTATTTAGAAACAGAGTCTCACTAAATTGCTAAGGCTAGCCTGAAACTGTGATCCTCCTGCCTCAACCTCCTGAATTGCTGGGATTATGAGTGAATGCCACCGCACCCATCTGAGTCACTCATTTTTGGCTGTAAAAAAAAGAAGAGCTAACATTTATCAAGTGCTTACTATGGACCATTTAATTCTGCCAAGGCTGTGAAATAGATTCAGCTGTTCTCATTTTAGCCAAACACTGGGCTCAGAGAGTAAAGGGTCTGGCCCCTGGTCCAGCAGCCCAGACCTCCCAGAACTGGGTTTGGAAGCCACTCTGCTGACCCCAGGGATCAGGAGGCCTGAGGCCAGGCTCTGTGCTAATCCTCTGTGAGACCTTGCAGGGTGTCTCTTTACCTCATCTGGGTCTCGGTGTCCCGTTTGCTCAGGAAGGGGGTTAAACCGCAGATCACACATTCCATGTTCCATGTTCCACTTCAGGTGGGACAGTGAGTTGCTTCTAGGTCTCTAGTGGTGGTGGCAGCATTCTTCTGCAGTTTACCAGTGCTCTGGGCATTGCCTATAACCAGCACACCTCTGAATGTCCCTTCTCTCAGTGACAGCAGAGTACCCAGCCCCGCGGGCATCAGCTCAGGCATCTTGCAAGCCCGCACCTTGAGGGGGGGATTGCAGAGATGAAAAGGGAAGAAGACTAAAGGAGCTGGAATGTGGGAAATGCAGCCCTGCAGGAGCCCGCAGCACTGAGTTTTTGGTTACTTGGAGAGTGTATGTGCACATTCGCATGTGGTGGGGGGAGGAGAGCAGGAGGGAAGAGTGTTGCAGGGATTTGCACCCATCCCCAAATCCTCCAGAGCTCTTGCCCTCTGTGGAATTCCAAACATTTCCTATCAGATAAAGGTGGCTGAAAATACCCAGGACTTGTCTGGACTAGTTTGAAGCAGTGCTGGGGTGATGAGGTTGAGGCCACCAGGGCTGGCCCAGCAAGGCTGACCACTCAAAGGAGCTTGCCCTGACCACTCAAAGGGATGTGCCCGCTGCCCTCTTCCCCTGGATTCCTCAAGCCTGAGGGTGAGACTCAACAGGCTTGTAGGTGAAGAAGGATCAGAGCTTCCTGTGGCATGTCCTTCTGCTCTTGAGTGTTGCTTCTTACTGTAGACACTAGTTACTGGATCTTTTGGACACCCTTGAGACAGCCAGCCGGGCAGTGGGCAGTTGCTCATCTGTCCGTGAGAGAGTTCCTTTCATCTTCCTCCTCATGCCACAGCCCAGCAGGGTCCCTGTGAGGTACTGTCCTCCCAGACAGGGAATGGATTCTCCCCAAGCAAACTAGTGAGAGAGCTGGGACACAAAACCTCCTCCACTGACCATCTGCCAGTGCTCGTCCTCCACCACGTCCATCATTAAGTGGCTCCAGAAGAAGGGGCGGGCACACCCTTGGGTGGCAAGGAAGGAGAAGCTGCTTTGGACCACAGAGCCCAAGGAGCTAGGTGCAGTGGTGCACACCTGTAATCCAGTACCCTAGAGGCTGAGGCAGGAGTTAGACCCTGTCTCAAGATAAAAAGGGATAGGGGTGTAGCTCAGTGGTGGATTACTTGCCTAGCTTGCACAAGGTCCTGGGTTTGATCCCCTGTAACACAAAAGAAAAGGGGAAAAAGATCTCAGAAGGAAGCAGAAATTTAGGGAGAAGGTTGGCCCTAGTCTTTATATGTTGCTACCCCAATCCATCCTGCCTGTGGCCTTAGCACAATGCTTTTTTAGAACTTTCCAATAAACTTCCTGACCTCCTTGAAGAAGTGACCTATGGGTTGAAACCTGAGAGATACATGCCTAGGAGGTTGGCCGAGGAACTGGTGTGGGCAAAGTTCCTGGGATTGAGCAGACCATAATCTTGTGAGGAAACCAAGGACACCCTGAGGCCCTTCAGGCTGTGGAGAAGTCTTAGGACTCAAGCTGAGCCTGGCCTGATAGTGGAACCGTCATCGCTGGCATTGACATGATCTGTTGTGCCATGCGTAGCTCCAAGAGTTCTACACGTGTTGCCATTGACTCCTCAACAGGGTTCTTTTGAAGTTCATTTTTTATCTCATTTTTCAGGTGAGGTCCAAGGCCAAACATCTTGCGAGAGTTACTGGTTACCTGGCCACTTGGCACTCTGGCAGCTCACTTGGTGGGAGGAGGAGTTAATTAGCCCTGGTCCAGATCACACCTCCATTTCACAAAAGAGGAAACTGATACTCCTTGAGCGCCACAGAGCCTGGACCAGGGCCCCTAGCAAGGCTGGCAAAGCCGCTTCTGCCTGCCTGTGTTGCTTTCTTGGGCAACTCTTGGGAAAGAATTGCAGATGAGTAGCAAAGAGACCAGAACAGAGGCCCGTGGGCAGCGGTGGGGCGGGGGTTCAGCTCACTAAGAGGGAACAGCTGTCTGGTTTTGAGGAGCTCTCCAAAAGCAAAATGTTCCACCTAAAGGGAGTGAGCTTCCCATCGCCAGCGTATTGAACTGCCAAGGGCGGGGTCCACCTGGAGTGAAACAGACCTGGCTGTGTGATCTGAGCACCATCTTTCTGTGGGCTCCTCTCTGTGAAGTGAGGTATTAGGGAGGACATCTTGTGAAAGGCTTGTTTGTTGGGCAGGTGTGTTGGAAGGTCACTCTTGAGTCTGACTCTTTCAAGGGTGTGCGTTGGCCTTCAACCTGAGTACTAGAAGAGCAGAGGACTATGGCCATCACTTGTGAAAGGATATGGAATTCCCAGGGATGAAATGAGGCTCAGGAGGCACATGTGTCGGCCACCAGGAGCCGTGGAGGGCTTGGGCTCCACCATTGATGACCACTGTGACCTTGGGAGTGACTTTACCTCTCTACTGTGCCTTATCTGTACTGTAGAGAGTAAGACAGCAGTCGCCCATGGTCATTGCATTGTGTGAGTTATTATGCACAAAGCACTTGCTTAGTAAAATCCAGCTATTGTGTCACTGTCACTCCCAGGGCATGAGGTCGTGAACCCCATTGAGCATCTACCCCAATAAAAGCCTGTCTGAATGGTCTCCCGGCCTGGTTCTGAGCCGCGGAGGTGGAGGGCCCATGCTCGGCCTGATAGTTCTCTTGATTCCCCAGCGGGTGTTATCTCCTCCCAGCACAACCACTTCCTTTTCTGAGAAATGAGCGCATCTGTCAGGCTCATGGCTTCTTAGAACTAATGGTGGGGGAGGAGGCGGGGGAAGAGAGTCTGGCAGCTGAGGGGCAGAAAGGAGGAAGATTAATACAAAGTGTGCTGTGAGGTGCCTCCAGAGTCCCCAAGGCCCAAAGACTCAGGCCTCTCAGGACACTCCCTTGAGCCAGGAGCACCAAGGTCTCTGTGCTTCCCTGGGTGGCTTTTACCAGCTGGTCATACCACTATCACCTTGTGATATCAGGGCAAGAGAAACCAGGCTTCAGAAGTCCAAGGGCTGGCCATGGTGCCCACAGCGGGACTAGCTGGGCCGAGGTATTTCGCCCTGCACTCAGCACCGTCGCAGCCTCTCCCTGAACCCCCTCTCCAGGTTCTCCCATGCAGACTACGTTCCCCAGGGTAGAGGAGAGAGGCTTATTCCTCTCACATCATAGAGGCCAACAGCTCCCTGAGGAAAGCCAAGGGAAGTGGATTCCAACCACAAACCTCACCTCTTCCGAGTCTCCGCCTGCAGCGCCCTGCCAGGAGAGCGATAAGGCTCTCAGTCTGCCCCCCTTCCGTCCTCTCTCAGGGATCTCCTAACAAGGCCTGTTTGTCTACTCAGCAGGCATTTATCAGCTTCTCCCTCAAGGAAACTGAGACCAGGCACAGAAAGTGACTCTGCAAGTGACTCATGGCTTACCCGTGCAGGGCTATGAGAGGCCAGGCAAGGTATAGTCCTGATGTCCCTGGCACTTTCCCTGGCTGCTAAGAGCCCCTTCCTCTTCTCCACCTACCTCTTTCCTGAAATAACCAAGCAGGAAGGAAGCGGTGGGCCCAAGGTCTCCAGAGTCCCTCAAGAGGAAGGAAGAACCCGTCTGGCACAAGAACTTGTTCCCCACTGAAGCCAGGAAGGAAGGGTTTCACTTTCCCTCCTGGTTTTCGTCACATCCTTTCCCTCTACCCAGTTCCTCTCAGCTGGCTGGGCCACAGCATGTCATTCAGCTGGTAGCCTCGGGCCACTTTACCCACCTAGGGGGACCCAGAGGCATAGCCCTGGCCCAGAATATGGGGTTTACTGCCCAACATACAACATACCAGGGCTTAAAACTGGCTTCTTTCTTCATGTAACTGCTTTGGCCAAGTATCTCTGAGCCTCGGTTGACCTAAGCTCAGAATAAGGACCTCCTTCCCTCACAAAAGTATGCACCAGCCCATGGTAGAGACTGGAGAAGATTGCGCTGCCCTTTTGAAACCGAGCAAGCACTGCATCAAAGCTGGCAGCAAGGTGATTAGCCAGGTGACCAGCTCCCAGTGTGACCTTGAGCAGTCAAGATCATCAGCTGCGTGGAGTTAACAGTGAAACCCATGGGCAGCTTGTAGAGATGGCTGATGAACATGCACTAAGGGCCGAGAAAGAAGAATGCCCATGGGGCTCTGTGCTCAAGAAATGTCAGCAGCTGCTGCAGCTGCAGAGATTGGGTTTTCTGTGGGCAGACAACAGGGACTGAGGTGGCAAGATGGGACATCAGAATGAGTAGGAGAACAGAAGTAGGACAAATCCCAGTTCTGACTCTACCTAAGATAGGAGGCCTGAGTAAACTCTGGAGCCTCAGTTTTCCCCTTTGGAAATATGGTTCTTGAGAAATGTGCAAGGATTAAAAAAAAAAGCATTCATTTATTCAGCTACTGTAGGCTCATTTAGAATGTGGCTGCTGTGTCCCAGCTGTGGAGATACATTCTGGAGATACAGGGGACAAAATACACATGTCTAGTGGGGGAAGCAAGACCAAAAATCACCTGTCAAGTCAGGTCAAATGCTTTAGGTTAGTGCCTGGCAGATGGAAAACATTCCAATGTTCAAAAATATTAGCTTCCATAATAACTGTTATTTTATTCTTGTTTAGTAAGTGAGGACACTGGACCAGAGAGGTGAAATAACCTGTTCAAAGTCAAAATGCAAGGAAGAAGCATTGAGATGTGGGAGGTGAGAGAGAAGGATGACAGAAGACAGATCAGATTCAAGCAGGGACTGCAGGGACCAAACAGCCCCTGGCTGCATGGGTGGTTCCCTGGCACCTAAGCCCCTCCCTCTGGGTGTCATGCCAACCTTTTCACCTGATTCCTTCAGGGTCACAGGTAGCTGCCAAGGGACCTGTATCCTTCTGTCCTCTGCTCTGGGCAGAGATCTAGCTGAAGTCGGTCTGTGCCTGTGTGGGTGGGCAGATGCCAGAACTGGGTAGCCTTGGTCCCACCTGCCTGGCTCCGAGACTGACAGAGGAGGAGACCAGCAAAGAGACAGGAAGGTTCAAGTAGGGAAGCCCTTCCTCTCCTCCCCTCTGCAGGGCCTTAGTACACGCTGCCTTTGCTGGGATGCTCTCTCTCTCTCACCTAAAACAGTTTAATCCTTCCCTGGCTCCACCACTGTGTCATTCAGTTCTCAGTTCCAACCTCGCTCATTAGAGAGATCTTCCCTGACCACTCCACCTACCTCAGGTGCTGTCACCTCCCCCAACTAATTTTCTTCAAGACCCCATCATCTCTGAAATTATCTTGGGTTTTTCTTGTGCCCCTTTCTCTGCTTTCCACTAGGACATCATTTCTCCACTTTTTTTTTTTTTTTGTCTTATCAACCCCACCAATGAGAGTCTCTTTAGACATTTTTGTGCTAATTATCTACCCATGAAATTTTGAATGCCACATCCATACTGTGAATCTCTTTTTTGGAGATGGGGAAGTGGTACTGAGATTGAACCACTGAGCCACAGCCCCAGCCCTTTTAATTTTTTGAGACAGGGTCATGCTAATTTGCTGAAGCTAGCCTCAAACTTGTGATCCTCCTGTTACAGTCTCCCTAGTTGCTGGGATTTATGTATCTATATACTGTGGCCCTCTGGCGAGCCACAAATTGTTGTAACACCTAAGAATTTTTCACTCCAGACCATTGGAGCTAATCTCACTGCCATTGAAAATGGATTAGAGCATAAACTCGCGGCAGCCATGTTCGCTGCTGCATTTTCAGCCAGACTTGAAGCATAGTAGGTGCTCAATAAATATTTGTAGTATGAACAAAAGTCCAGTTACCCTGGGGTCACAAAGGAGATGTTTCTCCCAGAATTGGAGGAGAGGTGAGCAGGGAAGAGGCGACTCTGCAGTGGCGTTCCTGCCAGCTGACTGAGGAAGGGAGGTGGGAGGGTGACCAGTTCCAGGGCACAATGTTGGTAAAGGCACAAGGGCATGAAGCTCTCGGGAGTATCTATGTGGCCCCTCCACATGTGTGGTCAGGACTATTAGAGGCTTTGAAGTCAGAGGAAGGACCTTAAAAGTGGTGCTAGCCTGAGCTCTCCTGGGGATCACATCAGGAGAGCTGGCTGTAGGAAGCCATAATGGATAGGTGGATTGACCTTGCAGACTTAAGGGGTTTGCCTGGCTAGGAGTCCGTGACCCTCTTATGAAGGTCATTAACCATCACATGTCACAAATGGCCATGGATCCCCATGGAAGCTGTCAGTTCCAAAGAGAAACTTCTCCCGTTTTGCCGTAATCCAAGCTAAGGATACAGACAGGCCCTCGGGCCGGGGTCTCCTGGAAGCCTCTGTGACCTCAGAGACCTCCCTGAACCCCAGCCTTACCCCTGCCCACCGTGCCAGGCCTAGCTAAAATCAGTGGGAGCTACCTAGAAGCGGTGGGGCTTATCTCTGCATTCCCAGACCAGGGCTGCTCTGCAGTCCTGTTTATTTATCCAGAGCAGCCACCCACCCACTGAGAAAATGGCTGTGTTTGTTTCCAAGTGTGTCTGTGTGAACCATGGGCTAAATATACCCACACCACCGCCCCTCCAGCCCCCGCCCTGGAACAGCATGCCTCATTTTGCTCGTACTCTGCGAAAGCAGTCCCCAGAATCCACGCCCTTGGAAATCCTACCACCCCTCCCCAGGAGAAGGAGCTCCTGAAATGGGGATTGTCCTGGCCAGGACTGCATGAGTGGGGACTGGAGCCGGTCAGTGCCTTGTTTTCTGTGGCACTGAAATGAGAATGCTCCCTCTACTCTGGAATGACTGTTCCTGGACAGTGGACGCTTTGTGTCCTTGCAGGGATAGGGCCTGTTTACTCCAGCCCAAGCCCCAGAGCTGAAAATTTCCTGTGGCTGCCAGCCTCCTACTTCAGGAAAGTTCCCATCAAGAGAGTCAGGCCCCTCCCATTTTGGAACCAGTGTCCCTGGTTCCTTGTGGGACGTTTGGCCCCTTGGGATAAGCAGGGTCTTCTGGCCCTTGCCTCACTCCTGCTGGGTTCCCCCAGACTGGTACTCTCCCACATCGTGCAGAAGTTGTGGTGTCTTCATCTGGGCCTAAATAACTTGGGAGAAGAAAAATTTCAACTTCCATAGAGTTTTCTCATCTGCTAAAACCTATAGAGGCAGGTCAGGATGGAGAGGAAGACAGGGAGGCCTGGGCAGCCACTGCCCCTCCCCAGATCCTGGGCTCCACCTCAACCCCGCTTCCAGAGTCAGATGACTGACAGGACAAGTCTCCAACCCCTGACATAAGAAAAATGTCCTACTGTAGCTGCACTCCCTTTGATTTGCCTTTTTGTTTGAGGGATGCTGAGGAGGGAACCCAGGCCCTTAGGCGTGCTAGGCAAGCGCTCTCCCACTGAGCTACACCCCAGCCCGGGCACCCACCGTGTAACTGGGCAGCCCTACAGCCCAATTCCAGCTCTGTTGTTAACTCTCTGTTCCCTCCTGAAGTCTCACTCATGTCACTGTGATAGGGAGCTCACCTCTCTCTAAGGACTCTGATGATGGTGAAATGTAGTAACAATGCCTGGTACTTAGTAGACAAGTGACACGTTTGTTCTACTCATGAACAGTCACGCGCTGCTTAACAACAGGGAGACAGCCTGAGCAACGTGTTAGACATGTCATTGTTGTGAACATCGTAAAGTGTTCTTAGCAAACCTAGGTGGTTGCACAAGAGGAGGCAACGCAATCGAGGGAGGGGCGCAGTAAACAGGAGCTGTCTGAGGCTGCTGCTGGCCTGACGAGACTGACAGCTGTGCAGTAACCGTGGTCTTTATAAGTAGGAGGACACCTTAAGATAATGATAGTAAGGGTTGTGTAATAAATACACAAGCCAGTGACAGCCGTGTATTGTCACTATCAAGTCTTATGTGCTGTACGAAATTGTGCTTACTATACTCCTCTTGTGACTGTGAGCTCAGTGGGTTTGTGTGCATCAGCACCCCACAGACACATGAGGACACCTCGTGCCCTGGAATGGCAAGAACTCTGACCCCAGTCGGCCAGGCGAGAGGAAGTTTTCAGCTCACCGTAATGTTATGGGCCTACCATCGTTCATGTGTCATTGACCAAAACGTCACTATGCAGCGCATGATCTTTATCGAGCCCCAGCTCTGTGCCAGACACTGTTCTGAGCACTGGATGTACAGGAACAAGACAGGATGTCTGCCCTCATCAGGACACATCTAGTAGAGACAGGCTAGTATAGGAGTGCTCGCCCTGCTTGTACAAGTAATAGAACTTTTCTCACTCCTAAAAAAAAGATCCAGTACTGAGATGGGTTGCCACAGAACAAAGTCTGCCGACTGGCTATGAGACTTGCTGAGGGAAAAACAAAGCAAGGTTGGGAGTAGGCAGAGAGAGATGGAGTGGATGCTGTTTAGACAAGGTGGCCAGGAGAATCGGCAGAGGGGCCAGTGGGCCTGGGGTTAAAAGGGACAGGGCATAGAGGACAGAGGGCTCGCTAGGCCTTGCCAGCTGGGGTAAGCAGTGAGGACTTTATTCTAGGTGTGAAGAAGCCTTGAACGTGGCAATCTCTGAGGGACCGAGTGGAGTGGTCAGGTGGAGGGGCCCTGCCCACCTGCTTGCTTCCCCAGGGTCCTCTTGTCCACCTGGCTCAACTCATGGGCACTGCTGCCCCCCTAAGGGAATAA